AAGATATATGTTCATAAGAGAAAGGATATGAATAAGTAAATTGAACTGTTATGAATGTTAATGCCCATGTTATGTGATAAGAGAGCTAGTGGTATAGTTGGCATGCCAAGGGTCGAGGGTTTACCTATGTTTTTCGGGACATATGGACTGTTTACCTATGTTCTTCGGGACATATGGACTGTTTACCTAGGTTCTTCGGGATCTATGGACTGGTCCTTCGGGATGAACACTGAACTAAGGTTCGGTGCCCCATGAGGGAATTGATACGAGCTATGGTGACAGTATTAATGCACAACCTCAATGTACTCACATACCTTAAGTTCTCAAATGTATACATGGGCTAATGCAAGGGCTTTAAAGATAATAAATAACTTGTTATGATACTATATATATGCTTACATGATAGAAACAAATTAGTAATAATGATATGAGTACTGATAAGTATATTAATGATATATGTATAAATATGCATTATGTTATATGAAATGGTTTGTGGTTTTATTATATGTTTTATATGCCTCACTAAGTCAACGACATAGCATGTAAGTGATTTATACGTAGGTATGGAGATGAGTAAAGAGCGATGTGGAGTAAGACAGGTCAGTTCTCCTTACTCAATGTCAGATCAGAAAAGAGGTGATTAATATGTACTTTAATATATAAAGTTCTAGTTGACATGTATTCAAAAGAATATATTGTATAAACTCTGAATAGTTTTGTAAACGTTTTGAATAAGTTGAATGTTATAAAAGTTTTTAAATTACTCAATATTTTATACGAATAAATGTTTGAAAAGTCAATGTGACATATCAGACTCGTATCCGGGTCGGATACGGGTTGGGGGTGTTACAATATGGCATTTACGAGGTTACTTTCTCAATTGATTCGATAATGAGCCCATTTTCCATATTTTTCTATTTAGACAATTCGTCTTGATAATTCTGGAGAATTTACTTCTTACTATTTTAATGACTATTGCAAGTCCATTGGAATAAGTATTGAACATCATGTAGTTCATGTTTAAACACATAATTGTCTTGCATAATCTTTAATTAAGCAACTTCAATTGATAGCAAGACCATTACTCATGAAGTCTAAACTCCTAATTATTTCTTGGGGGCATGCAATTTTACATACATCAACATTGATTCGCATCAGGCCAACGAGTTATCATAAAATCTCTCCATTACAAATGATTCATGGTCAGGAACCAAATATCTCATCTAAGAACTTTTGAATGTGTCATATATGTTCCAATAGCTCCACCATACAAAAGTAAGATGGGTTATCGGAGAAGGATGGATATATATGTTGGATTTGAATCCCAATAAATAATTAAATATCTAGAACCATCTACTGGAATTTATTTACCGCTTGTTTTGCATATTGTCATTTTGACGAGTCAATTTTTCCAACATTAGGGGAGAGATCAAACATCTGGTAAAGAAAATTAATTGGAAAGAATATCATTATCTCATCTTGATCCTCGTACTAAGAAATGTGAATTAGAAGTTCAAAAGATTATTCATTTACAAAGTTTAGCTAATGAATTGCTAGACGCATTTATTGACCCAAAGAGAGTGACTAAGTCATATATACGAGTCGTGAATGCCCTAATAACACTTGACGTCCCAGGAGGACAAATTCTAGTTGCTAATATGTCTAATGCACGTCTAAAGCAGGGTAGACCAATTGGTTCCAAAGATAAAAATTCTCGAAAAAGGAAAGGAGAAAAGAAGAATGATTGTCAAATCGAGGAAACAATGGTTTTACCAAGATTTCTATAAGAGAATTCAGACATGATTGATAAAATAGTTTCAGAAGAAACTCAAGTACCTGAAAATGAAGAGATCTCTATTGATTATGTCATATCCAATATTAAATGGAACCGAAATCAAATCGACGTCGATAATGTTTTTGCATGCAATATAGAACTAGATGTTATGAATGACAAATAGGATCATGAACCAAAATCAATTGAGGAATGTAGACAAAAAGATGATTGGCCAAAATGGAAAGAAACAATTGAAGTTGAATTGAAATCGTTAGCGAAAAGAGAAATGTTTGGACCAGTAATTCGTACACCTTCAGGTGTGAAACCAATGGAATACAAATGGGTCTTTGTGCGTAAAAGAAATGAAAAGGGAGAAATTGTGAGATATAAAGCACGTTTAGTTGCAAAATGATTCACACAAAGACTTGGAATTGATTATGAGGAGACATATTCTCATGTGGTGGATGCAACTACATTTATATTTTTGATAAGTCTGGCTATAAGAGAAGGGTTTGATTAACACCTAGTGGATATAGTAACAACTTATTTGTATGGCCCACTGGATACTAACATTTACATGAAACTCCCTGAGGAATTTAAACTGGCAGAAGCAGTGAACTCAGGTTCTCGAATATATTATTCAATCAAATTGAATAGATTCCTCTATGGACTGAAACAATCCAGACACATATAGTATAATCGCCTAAGCGAGTTTTTGTTAAAAAATGGTTATAAGAATGATCCAGTTTTCCCATGTATTTTTATTATGAAGTCTGGAACTGGATACATTATTATTGTAGTATATGTTGATGATTTAAATATCATTGGAAATCCTGAAGAGATTCAAACTGTAGTTGATTGTTTGAAGAAAGAATTAGAGATGAAAGATCTTGGAAAATGATTTTTTTAAGGTTACAAATTGAGCACCTAAAAGATGGAATCCTTGTGCATCAATCAACATATATAGAAAAAAGTGCTAAAACGGTTTTATATGGATAAGGCACATCCAGTGACTACCCAATGGTTGTAAGAGCACTTGAACTGAGTAAAGATAATTTCTATCATCGGAAAAATTGGTCCCAAAATATCATACCTCGGTGCAATTGGGGAATTGATGTATTTTGCTAGTCATACCCGACCTGATATATCATTTTCTGTAAATTTGCTGGCAAGATTTAGCTCATGCCCAACTCAAAGACATTGGACTGGAGTTAAGCAAGTATTTCATTATCTCCAAGGCATAAAAGATATGGGTTTTTTTCCATAATAAATCCAAAACAGAGTTGATTGGTTTTGCAGATGCATGATTTATATCATATCCTCATAATGGTAAATCACAGGCTGGATATGATTTTACATATAATGGTACAACAATCTATTGGTGCTCCATGAAGCAAACAATTGTAGTAACTTCTAATCATGCAGAAATCTTAGCAATACATGAAGTTAGTCCTGAATGTGTATGGCTATGATCTATGATTCAACACATATGGAATAACTGTGGTTTGTCATATAGAAACGAAGTTGCTATTGTCTTATTTGAAGATAATACAACTAGGGATGACAACTCAACCCGAACCCAACGGGTTCCGACCCGACCCGACCCGATCAGGTCAGATTTTTTTTAAAAACAATTTAGGTTCGGGTCGAGTCGGGTTCTTTTATGCACTGTTCGGGTCGGGTCGAGTTTAGGGTGGAAAAAATCCGACCCGACCCGACCCGAAAAATATATATAATTTTACCATATATATTTAGGGATAATTACAATAATACCCTCTATATATAATTTTTTCAATTAAGTAACTATTTTTATTGAATAAAAATATATTTTTTATTATTTCGGGTAGGGTCGGATTTCTAAGTCATATATTCAGGTCGGGTTGAGTCGGGTGAAACCTTAATTTCATCGGGTCGGGTCGGGTCGGGTCACGGGTGGAGGATCTTTTCTTCTCGGGTCGGGTGGCCCAAAAACCCGACTCGACCCATTGCCATCCCTAAATACAACATGCATTGAATAACTCAAGAGTGGGTACATCAAAGGTGATAGAACAAAACACATTGTACCTTAGATTTTCTTCACTCATGACCTTCAGAAGCTTAAAGAGATAACAATTAATCAGATCAATTCAAGTGGGAATTTGACAGATTTATTCACTAAGACACTTCCTACATTTGTGTTTCAGAAGTTAGTACATTACATTGGAATGCGTCACTTTAAAGATCTCAAGTGATGTAGCCATTAGAGGGAGTAAATACACGTTATACTCTTTTTTTCCTTAACCTTGGTTTTTCCCTATGGGTTTCCAGGTAAGGTTTTTTAATGAGACAACATATTAAGTGTAAATACGCATTGTACTCTTTCATTTCACTAGGTTTTTGTCCCACTAGGTTTTTCCTAGTAAAATTTTAACGAGACACAATTAGACGAAATTACTCCTATAAGTTATGAATATATTATGTGGAAGTCATTATTACTCCTATTAGTTAATTTGGCTTTTAGCATTCTTCAATGAATTGAGAAGATGAAATGCCAAAGGACTTTACTCTTCACAAGAAAAAGATACAGATACATCTATCTCTATTTTCTCTCCCATATCTCTCCTTTGTTTTAAAATAATTTTAATGTTTTTCCATATTATTTTTAAGAATACAATTGTCTATATTCTCAAATTTTATCAATTATCTTTATTATCAATATTTTTTTAATTTGATTAAATTTTAAGGCTTTGACATTAAACCTAGAAATTTATAATTGAAATTAATATAATGTTAAAACATTAAAACTAGAAATTAATTACCAACAGGGGTTGGATAAATTAATATTTTTTTATTTTCTTGTTTAATAATAATAATTGAAGATAAGTTTTAAACTCAACTTATTACAATTAATTAAAACACAATAATAGTAGGTTTCTAATTTTAAGATATATATTGATTATAAGCGGTAAGTTTTTGTTGTTGTTATTGGTTATTATTACGAGTAATCGACACCTCTGTATTACCTATAATTTGTTAAAGATCGAATTTTCCTTTTCGATCTCTACTATATAACACTTCCCTAATTCCCTTCCTTTTTTGCATAAACGTTTTATTTCACTTTTTCTTGTGAAATTTTCCAAGGGGGATTTCTTTTCTCGAGAAAGGATTAGAAAAGAACAGAAAAGAAACGGAAAGAAAAAGGCATTTTTCTACGGAAACGATTAGCACATAATATTAGAAGGAAACAATGAGCTATTATGATCAAAAGCAACCTCCCGTCGGTGTCCCTCCTCCGCAATGTCAGCTCTCGATTTTTTCCCTTTGTTTTTTCAATTACATTTTGATTATTATAGAATGTATTTACTCATTATTTGTTCTTTTTTTTTTTAATTATAGATTATCCGCCACCTCCGGGATATCCACCGCAAGAAGCTTATCCTCCACCGACGTATCTACCGCCACAAGGGTATCCTCCTCAAGGATACCCTCCTCAAGGTTATCCTGCTCAGGGATACCCTCCTCCCTATGCCCCTCAGAAGGAAAAGCATAATGGTTGCTTACAAGGCTGGTAAGCTCCTCATCCTATATATATATATATATATATATTCATGCATGGTACGGGGCCAAAGCCCCTATTTGATCCTTTTCTCCACCCTTTATTGCTGTGAATGCGTTACTCTCGAAACTTATCCGTAATTGTAACCGAAATTTAAATCCCTTCGAATCTAATTCTTGGTTTTCATTTGTACCTGCAGTTTGGCTGCTATTTGCTGTTGCTGCTTGCTGGATGCTTGTTTTTGAGGGAACCAAACTTTGCCAGCAATCTCCAGTTGAATTCAACCCTTTCTCTCTAATAAAATTCAGTAGTATTTTCTATTATCTTTTTCTTTAACAGGCCCGACTCAATACATGTGTCAGATGGGCTTTAGCCCAGGGCAGCATGTTTGAGGGGCATCAGTTTTCTAGTGCTTATAGTGTGTATATATATATTTGGCCAAAAAAATTAGCCCAAAACACATGATCGTCGATCTAAAAAAATTAATTTTCCCTTGGAAGTGCATATGCCAAACGGTGTTTAATCAATTCTCCCTTCGAAAATCCAAAAAAAAAATTATGTTTTGTCTATTATACGGTACAAGTATAGGGGCATAAAATTATTATCTCGCCCAGGGCATTAAAACTCATTGGACCGGCCCTGCTCTTTAATATGCAAGTTCATGGTTAAATTGAATTATTAATAACTGAGAGGACCATTTCTGCTGCTGTCCCATTTAACTAAGGGGAGACGAGGCATTTACCTGCCTCCCTTTGGCTATGTCTCTTCTCATGAATTATTTAAGCTGGCTAGTCGAATAAGAGTCCGAACATGACAAGGTGAATGTAATAAAGCTATTCGTGATAAAGTACGAGTCGTTTTATTAGAATATCGACAAGTTTCAATCTAATTTAATAACGATTTTATTTAAATTTAAAATAAAGCCTTAATAATCGATAACTTCAGCATCAAGTTAAGAAATACACATATTGAAACCTGTCGAGCAATGGCAACAAAAGAAGATGCATTAGACCCCTTGCAAACAGAGGCGTCAATCAACATTGCACTTGCCACCCTCCCAACAGATTCCGCCACCTTGTAGCAGCATCGTCGTGATCGTTTTCGGTTATAGAATTCTTACAAGAGCAGTCTCTGAGTCATGCCGGAATTGCCGGAACCTAGTTCCGAAATTGAGCACAATGGTCGAAGTAACATCTTTTCCCTGTCACACTGCCAAATCCCTACGGAACCAAAGGCTCCAAAGCATCACCAGAGCCAAACGACGAACATTGTTAATTGCAATGTTAAAAAGATGACCAATAAAATCGTTAAACATTGAATACCAATGGAACTCTGACAATTTTACATCTTCGTTAATTTGTTTCACATCAAATTCGAGTCAAATTAATAATGTATTACTGCAAACTTTTATTGATAATTCATTTATTGCAGTTTTGCCCTTTGTAACCTTCATTTTTATTCAATTTAATCCTTATATCTTTTAAGCTTATACATTGACATATTTAAATATTCCATTCATCTGTTAGGCATATTACAGAGTAATGTTTACCACTTAAATTTCATTTTGTTATCGTTTTAATTGGAACTTAATTATTTTAAATACTCTATCCTTTGCTTGAAGCTCCAACTTTTATCTTTCACATTACACGTTTAACCAAAGTTGATATTTAATTGTTGATGTTTATCCAAATCCAAAATTGAAATAATTCAAAATAAATTTCGACATTTCAATAAACAATACAATCATGAAATGAATCTTATTTTCATAAGCTCACTCCTCTTGGTATTAAAAAAGAAGAAACGGATAACCCAATTAGCACACCATACAGTCTCATCTATGCAACAATGGATTGAAGAAAAGAAAAATTAAAAGGATTTCCAGATTCAACATTGAGGCAAAGTAACGCGTATGAGTTTTCATCATGACTCAGTAGCAACTTCCATGGAAGCAACCTTATCGGCCATGGCATTCTGTTGTTTCTCGCAATCGGTCGTCTCGAGCTGGCTGTAGTTTCCTTTGACCTTGAAGAGTTGGATATGGTGATGTTTGCAGTAGAGTTTACCTTCATGTGCTACGTAGTTTGATGGGCTAATGGTGCAACCTCCATGTGTACATTTGAAGCAGCTCTTGTGGTATATTGTCCCATTCACAGTAACCTTAAAAGCAACAAAAAACCCCCTCAAATTTCATTGTTATAATTCACATGGGTTTTAACTTATGTTTTTGAATTCGGGTGCAAGTGTCATACACGAATAATGTGACTAATACGATTGTATTTAAAAAAATTACCAAGATTTTCATTTATCTAGAAAGATATGGATCGAACATAAATATGTTAAAAAGAAGAAGAATAGGAGTAACATAGATTTTAATTACCCTCTCAATTGGATAAGCAGTCTTGCTACAGCCCTTGCATTTTTCTCTGGTGCCCTCAAACAAGTTCAACACTTTCAATGCATTCTGTTCGATCCAATTTGATACAAATCAATGAAAAACTTAAAAGTAATTTTTGAATTTTAAACAATTTTATCATCAATACATTAAATATTCCTCTGTATATAAATATAAATTTTGAGAATTACCTCATTTTCTTTTTGTCTTTCGGGCTTGACAATCTTTGGAATTCCTGAAAAAAAAATATTGGAGTAAAATATTATGTTGTTTGAATATTTTATTTTATTAGAAATATTTGTGTCTGGTGTTTATATAAGACATGTTGATATGAAAATACGATTTCTAAAGATTCTCAAATACAATGATTTTTTTTTTAAATAACTAAAACGTATTAAGTACATAATCGAGGCTGAAACTCGAATAACATATGTTAAAAATGGTAAATGAATAGAAAAGTTTACCTTCAAAACTCTTGTCCAGACTGCCAGTTCTCTTGAAGAGTTGATCAAAATGAGGCCTGCAGTATAACACCCCTTCAAAAGAGTTGTAGTTGCTAAGCTGCGAGAAGTAACATATTCGTGTTTAATAATCATTCGATACCGAAACCCAGATATCGAAAATCGATAGTCATAAAAATATGTTTACCTTGAGAGTACTCCTGCAATGGTAGCATCGGAAGCAAGCCTTATGGAAAACCCTATTATCAGCCGTCAACTTATCAACCAAATACACTGTCTTGTCGCAGGCACTGCATTTTTGTTGAGTCGCTTGGAATGTCGCCATTGTTGCTTCCACCAAAAGCTCTGATCTCTCAACAAAAGAAGAAGAAGAAACCAAGATCAGAAGAAGGCGAAAAAGAGTAACCGAAAACGATTCTTTTATGAATCGAATTTCACCCTTTTTGCCTTTCGATCTGAGTTTCTTCCTTCGTTTGGAGCTTTGAGATTTGTTTATTAATATAGCTCGAAGGAGGGGTAGAAGATGGAAAGGGTGAGCACAAATTTTGTGGACTGCAGTAAATTGAGGGAGGCAACAAATTAAAGCGAAATTATAGGATTTGGTGTCACTTTTTCCATTTTCGTACTATATTTATCACTTGAAGCAATCCATTAATACCATCTACACTGCATTTGATTAATCTTATACAACAACTTTCAGCAAGTGATTGAAAACAACAAATCTCAATTAATGTTATTGCTGAAATTAATTTAATCTCTAATCACTAATCACTAGTCATATATGCTACAGAAGCTGCATGTTGAAGTAATGAGATTGATTGAACTAAAAGTTAAAAAGAGAGCTAAAATCTTCTATTTGATGACATTTTTAGGTAAGATTTAATTTATTTATTTATTAAAGCATTTGCTTTAGGTTGAAAGGAGGTGGACATAAGGTTATTGAGTAGCAAAATTTTAATCATGAACAGGCCCGCCTTACTTCCTTTTTTTTCACTTCCGATTTTAAGGAAGTGGACCGATCCACGTTGCATCTTAGGTGAGTAAATATTCTACCAAAAAATAATTTGTTTATAAAGATTTGAATTCAAAATCTTATTTAAATAATATCAAGTTACTCATCACTTAAATTAACCCTTGTTAATATTTTATTTTTCATTTAAGGGAATTTTGTTATTAATTATGTAATTACATATTACTTTGAATATATATGATATAACTGATATTTTATATTCGTGATATTTATATGATTTTATGTACTATTATATATGTGTGTTACAAACTTTATCATATGGACTTTGAATATTATATTATCGTTAATTGAATATTTTCCGTTAATTTCATATTTAAAAGTTGTATAAGTTTTCAAAGATTTCTGAGATAAGATATATAACTGACTAGGAGATTGTAATTTGTAGAGTTTCAAAGTTTCATAATACTTTTAATTTTTTATGAAAAGTCTCCAAATGGCTAGATTTCATCCACAATGATTATAAATGGCTACAAACTCATCCCTCCATTATACAATCACATCAAGAACACTTCAAAAATGTCACTACACCTATCTAAGCTTAAAAATCAAGAGAAAAGAATTCTAATATTTATTATTTCATTTTTTTCTTGTACATAGTGTATAGAGCTATTTTGTATATCATGTTATTTCGCTCTTTATAAGATTAAATTTGTAACCATACATATAGAGAGGTATCCTTATTTACACAATTTAAACGTTATAAAATGGGAAGTTTTTAGTTTCACTTTAGAAGAACTAGAACGATTCTATCTTAGCTAAGATAAAAGATAGAGGAGGTTTGTATCTAATCCTTAAAAAGATAGTGCAGTAAATGTTAAACCTTATCATAGATATGTTTAATTCGAGATTAGTGAATTGAGAAATCCTTTATGATGAAAAACTAAGATAATGAATGTAGACTATAATTGAAAAAGTTGAATTCTGAATCGATTGCATCATAAACTTTTACTTTTAATCAAGTTTTCATCAAAAATTTTAAAAGTCATTTTGCATCCTCTTTATAGTTAGTTCAATATATGATTATAAGTGTTGAAAATTCAATGCACCTTTCGGTGCAAGTTGAAAGTTAGAAAAAAAATTAAATCCACCGAAATATGTTAAGTCAAAAAAAGGGGTTGTAATTGTTGAAAACGAGAAAGAGAAAATTACAAAGTTTAGCCACTAAAGTTTGGGTATTTACAAATTAGTCGTTAAGCTTCACCTATAAATACCCTAGCTCATTTAGCTTCAAAATCATCCCAAAGCATTCTAGCTTTCTTCCAATACTAGAGAGAATTTAGAGAGTTTCCTGAGAGTTGTTTTCTCCTCTTTATCAAGAGAGAATTATCATTTTTTTCTCCTTGGTAGATCGAGAGAAGTTGTAATTCCTATTTTCTCATAGTGAAATTCTTCTACCGTTGCCCGTGGTTTTTACCCTATATTATTTAGGGGTTTTCCACGTAAATTTTGTATATCTTTTATCTTCATATTTATCTTCCGCAAAAATTGGTATCCGAGCCAGATTAGAGTGTGTAATATATGCTTATTATCTTTGTGGTTGCCACCAAAAGGTGGATCCTCCAACATAAGAAAGTAAGAAGTTATTACCCATTCTTTGAAGGTTCTAGAGGACTATTCACGGTAGTGAAATAATGGGAGCTATCTGTAAAAGAAGCTATGGCAACGAAATTTGATGTTGAAAAATTCAATGGGAGAAATTTCTCATTGTGGAAATTGAAGATGAAGGCCATTCTGAGGAAAGACGGTTGTCTAGCAGCTATCAGTGAAAGGCCGATGGATTTCACAGATGATAACAAATGGATCGAAATGGACGGGAATACTATGGCAAACTTTCATCTAGCATTAGTAGATGAAGTATTGTCAAGCATCGAGGAGGAGAAGACAGCTAAGGAGATATGAGATCATCTCACCAAATTGTACGAGGCTACATCGTTGCGCAATAAAAGTTTCCTTAAGAGGAAATTGTACACTCTCCGTATGTCAGAATCTACTTCAGTGACGGAGCACTTAAACACACTGAACACGTTATTTTCTCAGCTTACATCCTTAAGACAATAGGAGAACAAGAACGTGCTGAACTTCTACTTCAAAGTCTACCTGATTCGTATGATCAACTCATCATTAACTTGACAAACAGTAATGTCACCAGTCTAGTATTCGATGACGTTGCAACTGCTGTTCTCCAAGAAGAAAATCGGCGCAAGAACCTCCAATCCACAAGGTAATACCGCAAACACTTCATATGATGGAGATGATCTATGCTGTGAAGCGTCAACCACCGTGGAAGGCAGAAAAAGATTTGCAGATATATGGCTCATTGATTCAAGAGCAACATATCACATGACCTTAAGAAGAGAATGGTTCCATCAGTATGAACCTGTCTTAGGAGGATCTGTGTATAGTTGCAATGATCATGCCTTAAAGATCATTGGTGTAGGAACCATCAAATTGAAGATGTATGATGGAACAATTAAAGTTCTTCGAGATGTGCAGCACATGAAAGGCCTGAAGAAAAATTTATTATCCTACGGATTGTTGGATAATAATGAAAGCAAGATTGAAACACGAAAAGGAATCATGAAGGTGTTCCGTGGAGCGCTTGTGGTACTGAAAGGCGAAAAGATAGTTGCAAACTTGTACATGCTGAAGGGAGAGACTTTGCTAGAAGCAGAAGCCTCTGTTGCCTCATGTAGTTCAAATTCTGTAATGCTATGGCATCAGAAACTTGGACACATGTCAGAACGAGGAATGAAAGTCCTTGTGGAGCAAAACCTACTTTCAGGCTTAACAAATGTAACAATTCATTTGTGTGACCATTGCTAACAAGTAAGCAGTACCGGTTGAAATTCAACAAATCAAATTCTAGAGGAAAAAGTGTTCTAGAATTGGTTCACTCTGACGTATGGAAAGCACCAGTTACATCCCTAGGTGGAGCAAAATACTTTTTCTCATTTATTGATGACTACTCCAAGAGATGTTGGGTATGCCCTATCAAGAAGAAGTCAGACGTATTTTCAACTTTCAAAAACTTTAAGGCGCGGGTGAAACTTGATTCTGGAAATAAGATCAAGTGTTTCAGAACAGATAATGGAGGATAATACACAAGCGAAGAATTTGATGACTTTTGCAGGAATGAAGGCATCAAAAGACAGTTCATAGTGGCTAACACTCCTCAATAAAATGGAGTGGCAGAGCGGATGAACAGAACCTTGTTAGAAAGAACAAGAGCAATGTTAAAGGATGCAGGCCTAGAAAAATCATTCTGGGCAGAAACAGTCAATACCGTCTGTTATTTGGTGAATCGAGCTCCATCAACTGCCATAGAGCTGAAGACATCAATGGAGATGTGGACTGGTAAATCAACTGATTATTCAAACCTCCATATATTTGGAAGTATTGTGTACGTGATGTATAACTCCCAAGAAATCTCAAAGCTGGATCCAAAATTTAGGAAATGCAAATTCTTGGGGTATGCTGATGGAGTAAAGGGGTATCGCTTGTGGGATCCCACTGCCCGTAGAGTGATCATCAGTAGGGATGTCATCTTTTTAGAAGATAAGCTATAAAGAAAAGAAGACGATGATAGCACTGAAAAGTCAGAGACTACACAGATACATGTGGAAAAAGAGGTTAAACAAGGAGATTCTTCTGAAGCAGAACCAGCACATGATGAACAAGAACCAGAGAGTTCTGATGCTCCAACTACTCGTCAATCAGATCGTGTGAGAAGACGTCCCAATTAGCACTCAGATTATGTTATAGAAGGAAATGTTGCATACTGCCTTTTAACAGAGGACGGTGAGCCATCAATATACCAGGAGGCAATAAACAACTCAGATGCTTCACTGTGGATGATGGCGATGCAAGAAGAAATTGAAGCCCTTCATAAAAATAATACATGGGACCTTGTGCCACTACCACAAGGAAGGAAGCCAAATGGTAACAAATGGGTCTTCAAAATCAAGCGAAATGGTGACGATCAAGTTGAGAGGTATCGTGCAAGACTGGTGGTCAAAGGATATACTCAAAAAGAAGGTATTGATTTCAATGAAATATTTTCTCCTGTGGTCTGACTAACAACAGTTCGAGTAGTTTTGGCAATGTGTGCTACATTGAACTTACATCTAGAGCATCTAGATGTTAAAACAACTTTTCTTCATGGAAATCTTGAAGAAGAGATTTACATGCTCCAACCTGAAGGTTTTGAAGAAAAAGAAAAGAAGAACTTGGTTTGCAGGTTGAACAAATCTCTATACGGTCTAAAGCAGGCGCCGAGGTGTTGATATAAGAGATTTGATTCCTTCATTATGTGCCTTGGATACAACAGACTTAACGCAGACCCTTGTGCTTATTTCAAGAGGTCTGGTGATAACAATTTTGTTATATTGCTGTTGTATGTAGATGACATGTTGGTTGCAGGACCCAACAAAGATCATATTGAAGAATTGAAGGCACAACTGGCTAGGGAATTTGAAAAGAAGGACTTGGGATCAGCAAACAAGATTCTAGGGATGCAAATTCACCGAGACAAATATAGGAAGATTTGGCTTTCACAAAAGAATTACTTGAAGAAGATCTTGTCAAGATTCAACATGCAAGATTGTAAGCCAATTTTACCCCTCTTCCTATTAACTTCAAATTATCCTCCAGTATGAGTCCTAGCAGTGAAGAAGAGATGATGGAGATGTCTCGAGTGTCGTATGCATCAGCAGTGGGATGTTTAATGTTCGCTATGATATGCACAAGACCAGACATTACACAAGCAGTGGGAGTGGTTAGTCGGTACATGGCGAATCCAGGAAAAGAGCATTGGAATATTGTAAAGAGGATCCTAAGATACATCAAAGGGACCTCAAATGTTGCATTATGTTACGAAGGATCAAACTTACTAATCAATGGTTATGTAGATTCTGACTATGCAGGGGATTTGGATAAAAGTAAATCTACTACAGGATATGTGTTCAAAATTGCTGGTGGAGCTGTAAGCTGGGTTTCAAAATTGCAATCAGTTGTGGCTACGTCCACAACAGAGGTAAAATATGTAGCAGCTACACAAGCCAGTAAAGAAGCAATTTGGTTAAAGATGCTATTGGAGGAGCTTGGGCACAATCAAGAGTATGTCTCTGTTTTGTGATAGTAAAAGCGCCTTGCATCTAACAAGGAATCCATCATTTCATTCAAGGACAAAGAACATACGAGTTCAGTACCATTTCATTCGTGAAAAGGTGGAAGAATGAACGGTAGATATGCAGAAGATCCATACCAAAGACAACATAACAGATTTCATGACGAAGGCAATCAATGCTGATAAGTTTACTTGGTGTCGATCCTCTTGTGGCCTATCAGAAACGTAAGCAACATGAAGGTACAAGGTAGAAATAATGGTGTGAAAATATGATTGTTCTAATCAAATCTTCAAGTGGAAGATTGTTGAAAATTCAATGCACCTTTCGGTGCAAGTTGAAAGTTAGAAGAAAAAAAATTAAATCCACCGAAATATGCTAAGTCAAAAAAAGGGGTTGTAATTATTGAAAACGAGAAAGAGAAAATTACAAAGTTTAGTCACTAAAGTTTAGGGTATTTACAAATTAGTCCTTAAGCTTCACCTATAAATACCCTAGCTCATTTAGCTTCAAAATCATCCCAAAGCATTCTAGCTTTCTTCCAATACTAGAGAGAATTTAGAGAGTTTCCTGAGAGTTGTTTTCTCCTTTTTATCAAGAGAGAATTATCATTATTTTCTCCTTGGTAGATCGAGAGAAGTTGTAATTCCTATTTTCTCATAGTGAAATTCTTCTACCGTTGCCCGTAGTTTTTACCCTATATTATTTAGCTGTTTTCCACGTAAATTTTGTCTCTCTTTTATCTTCATATTTATTTTCTCAAATTATCAGTTGCGATTTTGCTCTATCCGATAGCTGTCTTCCGCAATAATAAGATCTACGGTTAATTTCATAAACAATATTTAAATATTGTCATGTGTCCTTTTTATATATTTTTTCCTACTACATCATATATGTTTCATGCCACCCATTCAGTATTGCTTGTGAAGTTTTTCAACTCCATTGACAGAGTATAAAATAATTTTTATATATATATATTTGATTTAATTGCACTAGACATCGCTAAACTATCACATTCATTTGAGGTTGACACTTAAGCTCTTAAACGTTTTAATTTCATCCTTAAATTATGACTTTCGTTATAAATTAGTCTAAAACTATGTAATAATATGATATAAAATAAACTATAATTAATGTTAAGTTAAAATAAACAATTATTTAACTAACAAATGTAGAATGAATTATAAACCAATTGGTAGAACAAAATGAAAAACAAAGAACCATTCATTCAAAATAAAACTATATGAAATGAATCTTATTTCCATAAGCTCACTCCACTGAGTATTAAAAAAGAAGAAACAAATAACCCAATTGGCACATCATATAGTTTCATCTTTGCAACAATGGGTAAACACCCCCCAACCCACCCAAGGATTTCCTGATTCATCATCGAAGCAAAGTAATGCGTATGAGTTTTGGTCATGACCCAGTAGCGACTTCTATGGAAGCAACCTTATCGGCTGTGGCATTCTGTTGTTTCTTGCGATCGGTCATCTCCAGCTGGCTGTAGTTTCCTTGACCTTGAAGAGTTGGATATGGTGATGTTTGCAGTAGAGTTTCCGTTCGTGTGCTACATAGTTTGATGGGCTAATGGTGCAACCTCCATGTGTACATTTGAAGCAGCTCTTATGGTATAATGTCCCATACGCAGCAACCTTCAAAAATTTAACAAAAAACCCTCAAATTTCATTGTTTTTGAATTCGGATGCAAGTGTCAGATATGAATAATGTGTCTAATACGATTATATTTAATATTTTTTACCAAGATTTTCATTTATCTAGAAAGATATGGATCGAACATAAATATGTTAAAAAAATAAGGATCGGAGTAACATATATATTAATTACCCCCTCAATTGGATAAGCAGTCTTGCTACAGCCCTTGCATTTTTCTCTGGTGCCATCAAACAAGTTCAACACTTTCAATGCATTCTGTTGAATCCAATTCAATACAAATCAATGGAAAAATTAAACATAATTTTTTTAATTTTAAACAATTTTATCATCAAATATATTAAATAATTTTCGAGAATTACCTCTTTTTCTTTTTGTTTTCCAGGCTCGACAATCTTTGGAATTCCTAAAAAATTATTAAAGTAAAAAGTTGTGTTCTTCGGACATTTTATTTTATCCAAAATATATGTGTAAGATGTTTACATAAGGTGTGTTGATATGAAAAAACAATCTCTGGAGATCTTCTAAATGCAATGAATTCTTTTTTATAAAAAAAATCTAATTATGTAGAGTATATATTCGAATTTAACATTTTCACTCAAATCCGAATATCATATGTTAAAATGACAATTCAATAAAAAAGTTACCTTCAAAACTCTTATCCAAACTGCCAGTTCTTTTGAAGAGTTGATCAAAATGAGGCCTGCAGTATAACACCCCTTCAAAAGAGTTGTAGTTGCTAAGCTGCAAAAAGGAAAAAAATATATATTCTTAAATATTTATCAGCTGAAAATCATAGACGATATAATAAAAAGATGTTACCTTGAGAGTACCCCTTCAATGGTGGCATCGGAAGCAAGCTTTATGGAAAACCCTATTATCAGCCGTCAACTTATCAACCAAATACACAGTTTTGTCGCAGGCACTGCATTTTTGTTGAGTCACTTGGAATGTCGCCATTGTCGCTTCCACCAAAAGCTCGGATCTCCCAACAAATGAAGAAGAAGAAGCTAAGATCAAAAGAAGACGAAAAAGAGTAACCGATAACGATTTTTTTTTAATCGAATTCCACCCTTTTTGCCTTCCGATCTGAGTTTCTTCTTCCGTTTGGAGCTTTGAGATTTCTTTATTAATATAGCTTAAAGGAAGAGTAGAAGAAGGCAAGGGTGATCACAAATTTTGTGGACTGCAGTAAATTGAGGAATGAGGCAACAAATTAAAGCGAATTTATAGGAATTGGTATCACCTTTTCGCTCCTTGCTATCATTTTTGTATGACAATTTGTTAACAGTCTGAGGTGAATATATTCATGCATATGTGGTATTCGAACTCATAACTTTAAATAATAATAACAATTTTTTAATTATTAAGGTTGTCTGATTCATGTATCTACGTTACATTTGATTCATCATGTTAGGGTATTTCTCATATATATACAAATTATCACTAGCGCTATGACATCAATCGACCCTTATCTCTTGTGAAGATGTACTCCAATAATCATAAATTATTGTCAAATTTCTATGAAATTAATTAACCCTCTAATCACTAATCATATATGCTGGCGAAGCAGCATGTTGAAGTAATGAGATTGATTGAACTAAAAGTGAAAAAGAGAGTTGAAATCTTATGTTTAATGACATTTTTAGGTAAGATTTAATTTAATTTTTAATTATTTTTTAAAAGCATTTGCTTTAGGCTCAAAGAAGGTGGGGTGGACCTAAGGTTATTGAGTAGCAAGAATTTAATCATAACAGGTCCTCCTTACTTTATTTCATTTTCTTAATAAACTAATTTTTAATATTTAAATTTCATATATTTTTTAATTTAATATTTAAATTTCATATATTTTTTAATTTAATATTTAAACTTTAAGTTCAATTTTTGGTTTAATTTTAATTTGTTTGACGTGACATTTTAGGTGTACGTTATCATTAAAAGGGTTAAAATTTAAAAAGTAATATGGATCAAAATAAAATTTAAAGATTGAATTTTGGTCCCTAGTGAAATTATTTGGAGTTAAAGGAGAAAATAATTAATAATTATAAGTTGAACAGCAATAGGACATTTGGTGTAGTGGTATGATTCTCGTTTCGGGTGCGAGAGGTTACTAGTTCAATTCTTGGAATGCCCCTAAGCTCTTCAGATTATACTCAATTAAGGTTAAATTTTTGCAGACATTTAAGCCCATTGTCACTTTCTTTGTCTTCCCTTTCTTCACTTCGACCCTCTCAAACCCGATCAGTTGTTTTTTCGGTGCACCAGTCACCTCCGTTAAGCTTGGTGGCTTCCAGAAGAGATGCACTACATGAGCTTCGTCCATTGATCCTTTTTCCTCAATCTGATAACGACATCGAATTGTAGGATGTTGTAGTATAGGGTCTCGGCGTCGATCGCTTCGTCGATGTTCGAGTAGGTATCATATAGTTTGAGGATGTTGTTTGGTGTTGAGATGATTGGTATTGTGGAAGGGGCTAATATTAGAAACTTTGAGAATGATGTGTAGCTTAGTCTGTGTTCGAATTCATAAACAGTTTTGCCTTGTAGAATCTATAGGTTTGTCCGGGGAAGTTTGCAATTGCGTTGGCTCGCATGTTCATATCGATCATCGGGACCTTATCGGCGTACTCTTGCGGATACCATGTAAATGGTGATCTTCTAGCTGAGGCACTAGAAAAATTTATCGGCATATTTTGTTTTGGGACAAATATTTTACTTAAATTGTCATAAAAGAAGATGAAAAGGAAGGCAACCTAGTTATAGTCTCTGAATATGATTTGAGCAATGGCGTCTCCACCGGCTTGACCCGGATATCCGACCCATAGGATTGTTAAAAGTCAAATTCAGTGGCAGCTACAATTGTCAAATTAAGCTGCAATTCGGTGGTTTTTTCGGTGCAAAAAGCTGGCACCAAAATTGTTGAAAAAATGGGATGGTAAAATTACATATTTAGTCCTTGTACTTTAGGGTATTTACAAGATTAGTCCTTAAGCTTCAACTATAAATACCCTAACCCATTTAGCTTCAAAACCATCCCAAATCATTCTAGCTTTCTCCCAATACTAGAGAATTTAGAGATTTTTCTTGAGAGTTTTTTTCTACTTTTAATCAAGAGAGAACTATCATTACTTTATCCTTGTTAGATCGAGAGAAGTTGTAATTCCTATTTTCTCATAGTGAAATTCTTCTACCGTTTCCCTTGATTTTTACCCCATATTATTTAGGAGTTTTCCAAATAAAATTTGTGTCTTCTTTATCTTCATTTTTATTTTCTCAAATTATTGGTTACGATTTTGCTCTATCCGATAGCCGTATTCCGCAATAATTGGTATCAAAAACCAGATTTGAGTGTGTAATATCTACTTATTGTCTTTGTTGTTGCCACTAAAAGGTAGATCCTCTAACATAAGAAATTAAGAAGTTATTACCCATTCTTTGAAGGTTCCAGAGAACTATTCACGATAGTGAAATAATGTGAGCTATCCGTAATAGAAGCTATGACAACGAAATTTGATATTGAAAAATTCAATGGGAGAAATTTCTCATTGTGGAAATTGAAGATGAAGGTCATCCTAAGAAAAGACGGTTGTCTAGTAGCTATCAGTGAAAGGCCGATATATTTCACATATTACAACAAATAGATCGAAATGGACGGGAATACTATAGCAAACTTTCATCTAGCATTAGCAGATGAAGTATTGTCAAGCATCGAGGAGAAGAAGACAACAAAGAAGATATGGGATCATCTCACCAAACTGTACGAGGTTACATCGTTGCACAATAAAATTTTCCTTAAGAGGATATTGTACACTCTCCGGATGCCAGAATCTACTTCAGTGACGGAGCACTTAAACACACTCAACACTTTATTTTCTCAGCTTACATCCTTAAGATGTACATTAAGGGAACAAGAACGTGTTGAACTTCTACTTCAAAGTCTACCTGATTCGTATGATCAACTCATTATCAACTTGACAAACAGTAATGTCACCAGTCTAGTTTTCGATGACGTTGCAGCTGCTATTCTACAAGAAGAAAATTGACGCAAGAGTAAGGAAGACAGACAAGTAAATCTGTAATAAACAGAAGCATTGACAATGATGAGAGGGAGATCAACAGAACGTGGCCAAAGTAGCAGTCACAAACATGGTAGATCGAAGTCGAGAAGCAAAAAGAATTTAAGTGCTACAATTGTAGAAAGAATGGACACTTAAAGGATGATTGTTGGAGTCTAGGTAAAAACTCCAATCCACAAGGCAATACCGCAAACACTTCAGATGATAGAGAAGTTCTATGTTGTGAAGCATTAACCACCGTGGAAGGCAGAAATTTTTTTGCATATATATGGCTCATTGATTCAGGAGCAACATATCACATGACCTCAAGAAGAGAATGGTTTCATCATTATGAACCTGTCTTAGGAGGATCTGTGTATAGTTTCATTGATCATTCCTTAGAGATAGTTGGCGTGGGAACCATCAAATTGAATATATATGATGGAGTAATTAAAGTTGTTCGAGATGTGCGGTACATGAAAGGTCTGAAGAAAAATTTATTATCCTACAAATTGTTGGATAATAATGCAAGCAAGATTGAAACACGGAAAGTAATCATGAAAGTTTTTCGTGTAGCACTTGTGTGATGAAAGGCGAAAGGATAGTAGAAAACTTGTACATGTTGAAGGGAGAGACTTTTCTAGAAGCAGAAGCCTTTGTTGCCTCATGTAGTTCAGATTCTGCAATGTTATGGCATCAAAAACTTGGACACATGTCAGAACAAGGAATGAAAGTCCTTGTGGAGCAAAAGTTACTTCAAGGCTTAACAAAGGTATCACTTACTTTGTGTGAGCATTGCATAACAAGTAAGCATCACCGGTTACATCCCTAGGTGGAGAAAAATACTTTATCTCATTTATTGATGACTACTCTAGGAGTTGTTGGGTGTACCCTATTAAGAAGAAGTCAGATGTGTTTTCAACTTTTAAAAACTTCAAAGCACAGGTGGAACTTGATTTTGGAAATAAGATCAAGTGTTTTAGACCAGATAATAGAGGAGAATATGCAAGTGAAGAATTTGATGACTTTTGCATGAAAGAAGGCGTCAAAAGACAGTTCACAGTGGCAAACACTCCTCAACAAAATGGAGTGGTAGAGCGGATGAACAGAACCTTATTAGAAAGAACAAGAGCAATGTTGAGGGCTGCAGACCTAGAAAAATCATTTTGGGCAGAAGCAGTCAATAACACCTGTTATTTGGTGAATCGAGCTCCATCAACAGCAATAGAGCTGAAGACACCAATGGGTATGTGGACTGGTAAACCAACTGATTATTCAAACCTCCATGTATTTGGAAGTATTGTGTACGTGATGTACAACTCCCAAGAAATTTCAAAGTTGGATCCAAAATCCAGGAAATGCAAATTCTTAGGGTATCGCTTGTGGGATCCCACTGCCCGCAAAGTGATCATCAGTAGGGATGTTATCTTTGTAGAAGATAAACTACAAAGAAAAGAAGAAGATAGTAGCACTGAAAAGTCAGAGATTACACAGATACATGTGGAAAAAGTGTTTGAACAAGGAGATTCTTCTGAAGCAGAACCAACACATGATGAACAAGAAACAGAGAGTTCTGAAGCTCCAACAACTCGTTAATCAGATCGTGTGAGAAGACATCCTAATTGGCACTCAGATTATGTTATAGAAGGAAATATTGCATAATGCCTTTTAACAGAGGACGGTGAGTCATCAACATTCCAAGAGGCAATAAACAACTCATATGCTTCACTATGGATGATGGCGATGCAAAAAGAAATTTAAGCCTTTCATAAAAATAATACATGGGACCTTGTGCCACTACCACAAGGAATGAAGCCAATTGGTAACAAATGGGTCATCAAAATCAAGCGAAATGGTAACGATCAAGTTGAGAGGTATCGTGCAAGACTGGTGGTCAAAGGATATGCTCAAAAAGAATGTATTGATTTCAATGAAATATTTTCTCCTGTGGTTCGACTAACAACAGTTCGAGGTAGTCTTGGCAATGTATACTAAATTGAATTTACATCTAGAGCATCTAGATGTTAAAACAACTTTTCTTCATGGAAATC